AGGGTAGGGCTGGTGACAGAGAGGTTTGAGGTTATGTGGTTGCTCCTGAGCAGTTCTTCCCACAGTCCCAGAGGGACCCAGGAAAGTCCCAGCTCTTACACAGGGGTACTCTGTCCCAGGGAGCTCAGCCATGGCTCTCCTGGCTTACTTCACTGTCCTGCCTAACATTTGCTTTTCTGAACTCTTTGGAAATGCTTATTTCTCTCTTTCTCCCTTCTCAGTCCATAGGAGGTAGAAAGAAAGAGCTTGAGCAGTGGGAGATGGTGAGATCATGAGGAGGGGTTGCTGGGGCTGCCAATGTGCCAATTTCAGGTTATGCCAATTTGAGTGAGAAGTCGTCCTACAGCAACTCCTGCTGTGTGGGTATGCTCAAGGATGAGGGGGCCTGGGCAGGGTCAGATGGAGAAAGAGGAGGGGCTTTTGGGAAGCTCCTAGTGAAAGAAAGGCCAGCTTGGCAGTGGTTTCTCCATCCTTCCTCTTACCCCAGCAAAGTTTTTCCCTGCTCAGCGACCTTCCAAAAGCCACAGACTTCTGCGCTGCCATTTCCCCTGGCCTCCTCAGGAAGGGACCGTGGAGAGGAGGCATCATTCCCAACTCTCCTCAAGGGTGTTTGCTGTTTGGCAGAGCAAAAGGGACAGTCCTCTATCCCCAAAGATGAGCCCCTTTGAGTTGGTTCTAGAGGACCCAATCTCTCTGTGGCAGCAGATGTGGGATTGAATGAAGAAGACCATTTGCTTGGTGGTGTTAGCTGTAGAAAACTAAATGGAAATGCTCCAACATGCTTTTTAATTCCAAATGTGTGGTAGGATTTATGACAACTAATGCAGGAACCATAGGAGAGTGTCAGAGCAAATCGAGTTCCCAGGCTCTGGTGGGTCTGTGGTGATGCCTCAGGCAGCAAGCCACATTCTCACGAGGGCTGTGACTTATAAATGAAATATGTCAGCAGTGCAGGACAGATCCAGGGCTAGTTCAGCTTCTGCTGCGTTATTCATGAGTATGTGAAAGCTCTGAAAAATGTGACAGGCTTTGGGTTAGGTTCTCAACACAACATTACTCCTCGTGAGATGAAATATGAGCGTGTCTCTCCTAAGACAGGAATATATATCCTGGAAGCTGTGGGATAATGGCATATCTAAAGGGAAAGTGAAGTCTTTGGTGTTCTGCTGCTGGTGGGTTTGTTTTCATTTTCCTCCCAACAGGAATACTTGCTAGCGATCTGCAAGCACTCACACCCATGGCAGTGTGGTTCAAATCAGTCTGAAAATATTTTGCCCCAGAATTGCTTTTGTGTAAGCTTTTGCAAGGTCTCTCCTCGTGAGTTGCAGAGGATTAGGAGCCCCTGCATGGCTTCTGGAGAGGTCACACTGCCAACCTGGAGTCTCCTTTTTGCCAAAGTGAGCACCCAACAAAGAGGTTAACTGAAAATTTAGCTTGTGTTCCCTTTTTAATCACTGTGCTCAGCTCTCTCAGGTAATGATCCACAGGGACTCAGCATCACTCCTAAATCCCTAAAGCATTTTGGCCTTGTAACTGTGGATGGCTGTGGGACCCTCAGGGTGGGATGAGGAGTAAGGGAAAAGGCAGGGATGCTCAGAGGCCCTGAGGGTTGTGTGTGCCTAGGAAAAGGCAGCATGGCAGGGCCTTAAGTTCTCTTACTTACTCATGAACCTCTGTACTTTCCTAATGAAAAAGGACTTAGTCCTGTCTTCTGAGAAATAACTGAGCGTTTTCTTGGCTTCCATGAGAGCAGGCCTGGGAGTGAACTTTATATAAAGGGAACTGCTGTGCACATGGGTATTTTGTCCACCTGGGCTTACGTTGGTATATGAATCAGTAATTGCTTTGTATTAAAGGCATATGAGGGTCCTGAGCTTTGGATCCAGCCTTTCCCACATCCTCGTGTCCTTAGCAATTGGCCTCTGCTTTTAATGCTCCATTCACAAACCCAAGGTTGTGGGTTCTATCCCTGTATGGGACTTGATGATCCTTTGTGTCCCTTCCAACTCAGAATATTCTGTGACATGTCTGGAACAGTACTTTGGCAAGGGACAAACAAAGCCCAGATCTGCACCAGGCTGTCCCAGCCCTGTGTATGCTGGGAGAGATGTGGTGTATCTTGTGACTGTTTCTGGCAAACAAGTCTGTCTGGCCATGCCTGAGCTGAGGAATCTTGTCTGGGTGCTTGTGTTGGCCGTTTTCAGTCCTGAAACACCTGGGTGTGCAGTATCCCTGTTGTCTGTGCCTCCAAACCCCTGTGCCTTAGGCCTGTAGTCCCAGGTGAGAATGGTGGAGCAGCCTTGAAGGTGCCTCATCTGGGTGCTGGGGGACTGATCCCTGGGCTGTGCTGTGGCACCTCAGGCAGCCAAGAGACACAGCCATTGGCACCTGCTGCAGATGTGCAAATAGCATCTGTCTGGGTTCTGCTGCTGTGTCCAGAACTGTGTGATGGGGCAGCTTCAAACACCAGCTTACAAGGACAGTGCTCTCTACTCCTCACTAGCCAGCTGGCTGGAGCAGCTGCTCTATTCCGTCTTTTTGGGAGAAGATGGTAGCAGCTGCCAGTTCTTGGGTTGTCAGTGGAGAGGTGCCCACACTGGAGAGCGAGATATTATTGCTCTTGTACAATCCCAGTTTTGATAAAACCGGATGGGTTTGAGGTAAATATGGAGCTCCCTTGTCAAACGTAAGTAGGAGCTGAAATTCATGTGTTTGAAGTGCTATGAGTAATCCTCTGCCTTTCTGAAGAAACTTTTTTTTCTCCTGAAAAACTAGTGACTTGCAATGGATTCCCGCAGCACTAGTTGGATACGTGACAAGGAGATCATATAAAAGGTCACCCTTGGTTTGAAATGAAGGCAGTGAAAAATGAGTGTCTTGTACTAAAACTGTTACTGGAGGTTGTTGGCCAAGTATTGCAGTCTCACTTTTCTATTTTTAAAACTCTCTCACCAGCTGTGATGTGACCCTTCCTTCCACACCCACAACAGAAAAAAGCCCTTACTGATTAGAAACAGGAAATAATAAAACTCACTAACCACAAAGTATTTTCAGACACAAAATAAACAAGCAGAGATGGTGAGAAGTAGATATTTCCCACTGATCTCTTTTCAGCACGGTAACCATAGCTGATAATTATAGTCACTGGGGATTTACAGCTTTTAGAGGGAATGTATGATTTTAAGTTGATGCTGTCAAACTGTAGTAAAATATTTTCATCACAGCCTCTCCCAGCATAACAATAAGGTGGCCACAAGTGTCATGAGGTGCATTATTGACACCATCTAGAAGTAAAAGAACACTTCAGGTTTGATCCTGGGCAGGGAGCTGCTCCTCTTGTCAGTCCCACTGGTGTTCAATGGAGCTTCCTCTAGTGAGTACAGCTGTGGGGGATTTTATGGGGTGGGATTTTTATCTAAACTCAGCAACATGTGTGATAATAAACTGGTAAGGTCTTTAATGTCTTTTCTCTTCCAGGATTTTGTGGTTTGCTTTGCCTGATAGTTTTCTCCACCTATGAGTGTTTTGTGCCCTTTGCTGCAGTGGTTTGCGTGGGGTGGCCCCAGCTCCCAACCCTCTGGATCTTTGCAGTGGGATATTGTGTATTTTCCACATTGGTGGTCATTCTGGAGGTTCCCGTCGGCAAAGGGGGAAGTCCTGATTTTCAGGCCGAGGACAGAAACTGAGGTTGAGGTAAGATCTGTACAATTCTATGCCTTTACCTGACTTCTGACCCCATGGTTGAAGAAACCCGCTTTGCCTCCTTGCAGCCATGTGTAGGCCAGTTGTTTCTCCTACCACCCTTATGCCACTGCTCCTAATGGCTCTTCAAGAGGGCTGGATAAAAAGGAAGGCTTCACAGAAAAAGATGCTAAACCCAGAGGTGCTGGTTTTCACTCCTTAGGCACCTCATCAAATAGATCTCGCTGCATAATGAGCCCCTCTGAACTGCGGGTCCATTCATTAGTATGCGTGGTGTTTGTTTAAGAGCTCCCTGCTCTTTTATTTTAACTGCGAGGAACTTTTAACTGCCTTTGAGATGAAAAACAGGGACCAAATGTTGCCAGCAAGCGAGCAGATTTGTCCCAGTCTTCTTGGTCCAATTTGCAGGAAATTTTACCTTCTGCCCTTTAGAGGATCTTTGTGATTCACTTATAAGTAAAAGCTGAAGCATTGATCCAGGCTGATAAACCCAGCTCCCCACTTCTTTCAGAATTTTTAAATTGTTGCTGTGATCCAGATAATGCTGTCTGTGTGTGTGGTGCACTCTGCTTTCCTACAAAGCATCAGGAGCAAAACCCAAACCAGCTCTTTCAACTGCATTAAGGAAAAACTATTTGTGAAAGAAGAAAACAAAAGCAGATGCTTGAGTACTGTTTATTCAGAGCATAAAGGACAAAGCTGGGAAGAGTATCAGTCATGATCTTCCAAAAGTTTATTTAGAACCTTTAGTTAAGGAAACAAAAAAAAAATCCCTAAATATAACTATAAGTTACATATATATACATATACTAACACATAGCTCACTAGTTTAAGAGCGATGTCAGGATGTCCAGGTGGCTGGGAACAACACAGCCAGAGTGAGCAACCCAGAGAGCATTTCTAAACAGCCCCAAAAGTCCAGACCAAGTCTCTCCCTTTCTCTCTTTTTTTTTTTTTCCTAACCACTGCAGCATTTTTACAGGAATTGACACTGGAATCTCCTACAGCTGCACAGAGGTAATAATAAAAATAAAAAGCCGAAGAGATCAGCTGTTTACCCCTTTATCCAACAAAGTTATCTCAGTGGTTTATGTGAGATCTGAGAGGTAACTGATGCCAGAAAGGGCCATTGCCTGTTGTTTTGTATTTTTATTAATAGGAAGTTAATTATTTTAGAACGTAAGACAAGAAAACTATATAATTAATATAAGCTAAAGAGCATAAGAGGGTTCTATACAATAATTTAGATGTATTAAATAAATAAAAAATAATAGCAGCCTTCTACAATGCAGGCTACACATAGGTTTACTTCGGCTTGAAGTACCCTGGTCTTTAGTACACCTACAGGAACAGACTTGCTCCACAAGTGTTTTAAAGAAACATATCTATAAGATACATACGTAAGAGTGTCTAAGGTTAGGATAAAAATTGAAAACACGCTTTACCATGGTCTCCACATATCTAATGACCCCATTCTAGGGTTGTTATGGGAAAAATTTGGCTGCAGAACCTGTCTGGGAGGCGCAGCATCAACCTGGTTGAAAACCGACAGCAGCGGCACCTGGAAGGAATTTTTGGAAGCCTGCTTGTTCTCTGCAGAGTAGAAGCGCTCCTGTGCCAGGTTTGTGCCCCGATTGCTCCCCTTAGGGCTCAGGGGACCTTTGGGCGTCAAGAGAGGCTGTTGAGATGGGCTGGAAGACCTCAGTGCTGCTTTGCAGGTATCTTCACCAGACCTGGGCAAGGATTTCAGCAGGTGGTTTAGCAGGCGCGCCCCAAGGCTCTTGTCCATCCACTCACAGGTGAGAAGGAGGTTGTGCACCTCGTGCATGCACTGAATGTACCCAGTGCTGTACCTCTGCTGGGCTTCCAGACCCACTTTGGAGTCAGCTGCATTGGTGAGGAGACAAAGGGGAGTTGGTGAGAGGGTAAGAGCTGACTGGTGTGTTCCTGCTGGGAAACCTTCACCAGGTTTCCTGGGGGGCTCACTCTGAAGCCACTGGACTTTCCTAGAAGATGCCTCGTTTGCAGGGAGAAGGTGAGCAGGGTGTGAGCCCTGGTACTCTGCTGCCTACTGCAGAGGCAAAACTACGCCAAAAAGCAGAAATACGCTTGGGAAGGAAAAAACACCTTGCCCGAATTAACCAGTGCCCAGCTCCATCTCCCCATCTAGTGGAGAAAGCCGAACCCAGGCAGCAGCCCGGGCCTCGGCTGGTTTGGATGATGCTTTTGCCAGTCTGGCAGGGGATCAAACCTGCGGCCACCCTCCTGCCCGGCACGAGCACTCACCCATCATCTTGCTGCTCTGGATGTTCTGGAGGTGCTTCACTGTCATTTCAAGGATGTCTGCTTTTTCCAGTTTAGACTGCTGATAAGGAAGGAGAGCAGCAGTTAGAGGGAATGAAGGGTTTGCACCATGCCCAGTTTCTCAAAAAATGAGACACCCTCCACAACCCCACCCCTCAGATTTCCCACCAACAAAAGAACAAAAAGCAGCATAAAAATGAGCACTTACATCCAGGTGAAATGCTCCCACAACTGTCTCCTTCAGCTGGTCTAAGCAGTTATTAATCCTTTCCCTTCGCTTCCGCTCAATGAGGGGTTTCCTTAACTGGCAAAGAAAAGGAGCAGGAAAATTGCAGGTGGTATTTTTTTCTTCCCCTCCCTGCTGCAGTTCAGTGAGGTCAGAGAGTCCCATCCCCTGTGTGAAGCCAGTGTGGGGTGGCACAGGGCTCAGCAGGAACAAGATGAAGATGGATGTGTACCATTTTCAGCCACGGCCTGTCCCTTAGATGGCATCAGCCCTCAATTCTCCCACCTCCACTCATTTTATGCAGGGTTCACCCAAACAAAACAGAGAGAAGCAGAGAAAGGGAGCGGGGAAAAAAAACCACCCATGTGGGTTAATTTCAGAGAAAACATCTTTATAATATGAGGAAAATAACTGTCCCCCTTTTCTTTCCCGGAAGCAGTGCCCATAGCCCCAGCACCCATCATTCACATGCCTGGTGCAGCGCAGAGGGCACGTACCTTCCTCTCCTCCTTGGTGCTGGCGAGCTTGTGGGTGCTGCCCGGGGTGGCTGTGGCAGTCATTCTAATCCAGGCACGGGGTGGGAAGGAGGCACTCGGGCAGTGGGTCGCTCCGTTTCCAGTCGGGCTCTTTGCTGCTCCGCCGCTCCTCTGCTGTATTTATAACCCCGAATTAGCATGTGAAAGGGAACTGTCCTTGGCGGGACTACTTTTCCCACACGAGGGGTCGAGCCCGGAGGTTTGTGGCCATCAATCAAAGCTGACAGGTCACTGCTTCTTTTCAATGAGCACGCCAGCCCCCCCAAACGGCGACAGATGTCCGGCCTCCGACGCTGGGCTTTGGAGGGATCTTTTGTTAGGGAAGAAGGGAAGGAAAATGGGCGCGCTCTGAGCAGCTTGCACGGCTCCTCGTTCAATTTGCACAGATTCCCAGGGAGGGAAACAATAGCCGGGAAGCGGTTGAGTTACACCTGGGAAAATGCCTTCTACTCATCTTTTCCCCCTCTGTTTCCTTGAAGTGATGCCTGGTTTCACCTACTTAACCTGACCCCAGCCATTTCACATCTTTGAAACAGCCTCTTAATTTAATAATAGAGTACTTCAGCTAGGAGTTCCCGCTCCCAGGGATTATTATTACAAGGAAAGGATGATCGATTAAAAACTGTTGACAGCTGGTTGTTTCCATCACAGAAATCCTCTAGGGCAAACATGGGAACATTATTTACCTCTTGGGAACCTGAGTTCTCTGTTGCACATGGGCGGACGTAGGAAATATGTAACTCTTCCAGTTTTTGGCTGCCGTGTAGAATTTAATATTAAACTGACAGGTTATTGCAGATGCAAACTAACCCAGAGGTGAGTTAGTCCTGTGGGATTTTTACTTTGATTTCCCCCCTGCCATGCTGAAGGGGGCTTGTCTGTTCACTCCTCTGGAATGCTGGTGTGGGAGCAGAGAAGCCTTTGGAGGAGTCTTGGTGCGGAGTGAGAATGCACTTCTATACTTCCTCACTTCTGCCTGGTTTGGGGGAGAGTATGAAGGTGTTTTTCTTGACCGTGCATTTGCTTTGTGATGTTTGCTTTGCTAATGAGCAGGATTTGGCAGTGTCCTGTTGAGTCCTGCAGGTGAAGCCCTTTGGATTGGTGTCGAATGTGTCACCTTATTGAAGTGGAGAGGAAGGGGCCACGGTGGCTCAGAGGCACCGTCAGCCCTCCCAACTCACTGGTGGGATTTTCTAGCTCCCACTGTAGTGCTGTGGCTGGAGAGCCCACTCCACTCAAGCCGAGGGTGGGATGTACCCCAGTAATAAAAGCGAGGACTTCATGTCCCTTGCTTAACCACAGCGTGGGTGTGTGTGTGTTTGCTTGTGAGTGAATGCAAACATGCAGCATGTCTGCACACCCTGCCACCTGGGCTCATCACGAAAACATGTCCCCAGACATGGAATCTGGCAGGCAGAGGCTGTTTGTCAGTCAGATACAGAGCTGGGGTGCAGCTACCTGGTTTTATAAGTGCACTACTTGGCAGAGGCCTGGGATGAGCTGGTGTGGTTGTTGTGCTGGGAGAGGAGGGCTGGGAGGGTGAGGTTAATAACTTGTCCTTTGTGCCAGGTAAAGGGAGCAGGGATGGGCCCCTTATCTCAGGTGTGTCCTCTGCAAAGACAGGTAAAGGAGGTCCCACTGCCCTGTGTTGGAGTCTCTCACATTAGCCAGCCCCAGCTGATCACCAGTGAAGACTCTCTTGGTTTTCCAAGATTTTTCCAGCCCACTTGGGAAGTGGATTGTTGCTGGTATTTATAAAAGGTGTAGCTGAGGCATCCATGACTCCAGCACCTTGGTATGGAGGAGGCAGTGGGTGGGCTAGAGTACAGGGAGGTCTGGGCAGTTTCCTAGGGTGCTCCAGGCTGGAAGCATGTCACCTGGGAACACAGCTTCTGGCTGGGTTTGGCTTAAATGGTAAGGAAGAGAAGTCCACCATCTGCCCCCAGACACCCCTCCACCAGCACCTTGTGCAGAAAAAGGCACCAAGGCAGTCAGGGCAGCAGGGGGAAGCCTGAGACCACCTTGGCTCGTGGCCCAACTGAGCATGGCAGAGGTGTCAGGAAATGCAGAATTACCTAAAAATTCCTAAAAGTGTGTCCTGTGCCTGTTGGCACCCCTCCTTGGGTGGGCATGGCTATAGGGCACTGTGTGTGCCCCCCATGTTAGTGGTCCCAGAGTCTGGCCAGCCCCCAGTGCCACCAGGAAAGGTGTCTCCAGTCTCTGTAGTGGTGGGACCTTGTTCCTCGCTCTCCCTTCCGTACTTGGCCTTCACTTGCTGCTTCTGCTTCACCTTCCCTTCTGCTTCCTTTAACCTGTGAGCTGCTGCCGAGGTCTGGGGTGAGTGGGATGCTCCACGAGACCATGATGCAAGCTGGTGGCAAGGCTTTGGGTTCAGGGGACAGCCAGGTGGGAGGGGAGGCCAGAGGAGGCCCCGGTGCCCAGCCACAGCCTGTGCCCAGCCCACTCAGGGTGAGCCCCTTTGCTTGCCCACGGGCATCTGCTCTGGGTGAGCTCATTTCAAGGTTCATTTGTAAGACAGCACCACAGTGAAAAAGAAGAGCAGCTTGTGCTGTAAACAGTTATTTTACACCTCTCAGTCACGGCAAAAGCCTTTATTTCGGAGGTGGGGAGTGCGGGCGGGAGAGCTGCCCTGGCTTGGGGGAAGGCCGACATCTGTGCTGGGGATTGTAGGTACCCAACAGGCCAATGCAAATGAGCATTACAGGGAGCTTACTGCAAATTCCTGCTTTCCCTTTGCACTGCCACTGCCAGGTTTCACTGAAAAGGGGATTCTCCTTTGTAAACAAAGCCTGCTTTTTTTTTCCTGGGCTCTCCAAGAAAAAAAAAAAAAAAAGGAAGGAGAAAGGGGTGAGTGCTGCTTAGAGTTTTCTTTTTTGCTATTTTTCTACGTTTCACACCCCGGAGAAAGAAAACAACTTTTAACATCTGTTCCTGCACTTTTTAAGAGGGAAAGAAAGGCTCTTGAAAAGGGGGAAAGTGTGGCAGATGTTGGCAGGTTCCCTCCAACGCAGATGTCTTGCTCTGAAGAAAACTTTCTTTGGGGATTGGCGGCCAGGGCTAATCTTTGACTCGGGACACGCGACTGCTGAGCGAATGGAGGGACGTGGGAAAGCGCCGCCGAACAAAGGGGCTTATTCAAACAAACCTGAGAGCCGTGAACAATCTAATAACCAGCAGAGAAATGGTCAGCGGCCCCCGGCCCCAACAGGGAGGGCTTCGGGGCAGCCGGTGGCCACAGGACAAGGGAATTTGACCGTGTCCCCAGGGCTGCAAGCAGGGGTGTCTCTTCCTTGCCCCCAGTCTGCTCCCTCTGGGGCATCCAAGGCAGTGCTTTGGCCAAGGACAATCGTTCTTGAGGTGCTGAATGGTCTTGGCTGCCCCACGGCGACAGTTTTTGCCATGAAAGCTGGTAATATTTCAGCTTAAGCACTTCATAGGAAAAAAGGGAGAAGCCCAGAGAGAAGGGAGCAGAGCCAAGAGGATTCACACAAGAAAGTAACTCATTCCAGTTTGCTGTTACAGCTGAAGAGCTCTGTAGATCATTCCTCTAATTCCTTCAAGTTTCGTTCTGCCTCATCTCTGTCCTGGTCCATTTTCTCTGGGCTCTGGTCAGAGCACAGCCTTTCCTGCCAGCAAGGCTGCCTTGTGCTGGGACAGCTCTGCCTCTTCCCTGCTCAGGGCTGGAGGGGAAAGCCCAGTGAGATGGAGCTGTGTTGCTCCTTTGGAGGTCAAGCCCTGGGGCAAGCAGCCCAAAACGCTGCTGTGAGCGTCCCCTGTGTTTCTCCTGACAGCAGAGTCCTCCCTGCATGGCAGCTGGAAAGCAGGAGCCATCTCAGCTGGACCGTGCTGCAGGAAGGATACTGCATGTCCCCAGAGACACGAGCACCTGTCCAGACTGGTTCCTCCTGCCTCTTACAGTTTGGGGTGATGCTGTGGACACCAACTCACAACCTGACAGGACTAAACAGGGTGCCTGTGCAGCACTGGGGCAGACCAAGTCCAACCTAGGCCCTGGCTGGTTAATGAATGGCCTTGTTAACACAGATGAGCATTTTGCAGGGATGGATTTGCTGTGGGAGAGGGGGAGGAGAGCTGAGCAGGTGCTCCTGAGCACTGCTTAGTCAGCTGCACATGTGGGTCATAGCAGGACCACTTGATCCCCTCTTCTTTCCCAGCTGGGGAGCATCCAGGCTGGATTTGCCTGTAGTTAAGTGACTGCTTGTTCCTCCTCTGAGATGTCTGCTGGCTGGGTGTGGGGGCATGGGTGCCTAGCCCTAGGAGTGCTGGTGAGCAGGTGTCACAGGGATGGACAGGGTGCTCCAGGAGTCCTGCCCCATCCAGCACTTGCAGCTGTCTGTGGGTTTGCTGGGGCTGGTTTTATGACAGCAGCTCTGTTTTCAGCACGTGCAGTGACGTGAGGTTTGTGGAGCGAGGAGCAAAGCGTGGGTTTGGGAGCAGGCAGGGTAAGGGGGGGGCAGCTGCTTGCTGCCGGCATGGGGAGTGGGTTGGCCCTGATGTGAAACCACAGGGCACCCTGTACACTTTGCATTCCCTCCCTCGGGTCGGGCTCCAGACCCGCCTTGCTGTGAGCAAACACTCTCTGAGGAGAGGCTGTTTTACAGGGGCTTTAGTCATTCTGAATAAAGAGGGGTTTGTCCGGCTTTTTTCAGAAGGTCAGTTGTGGCTCAAGGTTTCGGTTTAAAAATGAGGGAGGGGTAAAGCTCTCCTTCAAAATGTTTAAATCTGGATGCTTCTCAATAGCTGTAAATCCCAAGAACCCCGTCCTGAAGCCCTGCGTCACCAGGGGTGGTTTGCTACCAAAATGTTACAGCAGGAGAGGAATGTGAGAGCAGCAGGACGTGCCGGCGTGGTGACTGGATGTGCCGGGTCTGGAGGGTGCAGGCAGTGCCTGGGCGGGCAGGCTGGCTCCCGGCACAGAGGCACCTCAGCCACAGTCTCTTGGGGATTACTCACTGCTGGATGGCCCGAGGGCACTGGGGCTACACCTCCAGACTGGCCTCAGTTTGGGACATTGTACCTGCCGTGTCCCACCTCAGACCCACCTGTAGCAGGGTCTGCAGGGGGACCGTGTGTCCTGCAGCCCGGTCAGGATGGATAGAGCTGGAAAAAAGCTGGAGCAAAAAAGCAGGGCATGATTTATTTGTGCTTGGGGCAGAGCACTTGCAGTCATTTCCTGTGTTAAGGAGAATGGGCTGAGGGCACAGCCTCGATGAACAGATGCCACCCACAGTGGGACATGGGGCCAAGGGCACCATCAGAGCTTGCAGCGAGGGGAGCTATGGCTGTGCTGGGGAAGGCTGTTCCAAAGACCTCTGTTGGAATCCTTGGTGCTGTGGTGACACTGTCTGCACCAGGTCACTGTTTCTGGCAGAGGGCTGGGAAGTGATGGGGTTTGTGGCTGGGTGAGTGGGGAAGAGGCACAGGGGATCTGGCAGATGAGTTTGATGTCTATGGTAAGTGGTGGCCTATCAAGGCAATATCGTGTGCAATATCCTGTGCAATTCACCACGGTGTAGGCAGGGGTAGGAGTGCAGTTGAAGGTTCACCTGCTCCAAAGACATTTGGTGGAGAGAGAGGGGTCACATATGGCATTGGACAGTGCTACATGCAGTATTTTCATCATAGAGAAAATCCAGCTCCAAAAGTAGCACTGGACATCCGGAAATTCTGTTGACATCTCTCACCTCCTTTACCAAGTACACCAAATCTCCCTGGCCCCAGCTCAGCCTCCTGGGTACCACCTGACTCTACCATCTTCGGGAGTGAACTCCTGGGATAGGAAATAATTACAAGGCTGGTACCAGCTGAGTAATTCTCAGCTTTTCTTTCACACACCCCCATCCAGCCTTCGTGTTAAGGATTAGCTGATGCCCCTGCCATTGCTCAAGGTGTCTCTCACCTGGCAGGTTAGCAGCTGGTAAGCTCCACAGCCCCACAGGAAGTCTTATCTGCTGCTTTGCAGCCAGAAAGCTGCAGCTTGAAATACAGCTCATGGCGCAAAAGAGTCCTATAGGAAGAAGAAAATCTGATAAGCTGTGTGGCTGGTGACAGACTGATAAGGGTTATCCCCTTGCCTGTGCCAAAGTGGTGGTAGGAGGAAGAAGAGCCAAACTTCACAAAGATGGCACAGGGGGCTTTCAGGGAGTGTTCAGGGGGATACTTGAACTTTCCTTATGTGGCATCCCAGGAGTTACTTCATTCAGGAGGGCAGCCCTGGGCATTCTCACACTCTGTGTGTGAGATGTTACCAGATGTCACTTGAGAACGAGCCTGATCTATAATGTAGCAAATTCTTGGTTTATTCAGCAAGATTTGCTTTCACAAGAAGATGGGTGCCTAACTCCCCAAACATCAGGACCTGGGGCTCAGCATCCTGCACCCCACCCCCTACACATCCCGTTCTGCAACCCCTGCACATCCCACACAGCCTGTTTCTTCTTAGCTTCTCAGTTCTCTAGGCCACAGAATTATCTGAGTTAAGTTTCACCTTTGTGAGAAAAATATCTCTTCTGTGGATAAATGCAGCTTTTGTCCTGGCTCGGCCATGCACCAACACTTCCTTTTTATAGTATGTGTGTATACGTGTACTGACACCACATCCTGACCCCCTGACACAAAATACCTTGTCAGCATGAATGAGGCAGCAAAGCCAGTCATCATCCATGCTCTGCAGGGAGGGTGATCTGCAGCCCTCCTGCCCATGTGCTGTTCTGGGCCTTGCCTGGGTGGGTGCCTGGGCTGCTGCTGCAGGGGCAGCAGGACAGCCCGCGGGGGCACCAGGCTTACCAGAAGCGTTTCCTACCAACTGCCTGTTTCTGGTGCTGCAGGGCTGGGATTGCAGCACCTGAGGAAGTGGGGAAACACACACTTGGGTGGTTTTTTGCACTTGCTGGTTCAGTCTCAGCACAGCCCAGCTGCTGCCGTGACAGTGGAAAACACGAGGGTTTAGGAGGGGAGAGCATGAACCTCAGAGTCTCTGGTTCTTTGAGCCAAGACCATCCTGGGTTGTTTGTAAAATCTCATGTTGTTCTCTAAGCTGTTTTTTTTCATCTGTATTTTTGTAACTAATTTTTTACCAATTACAGCAAAAAGTTTTATACTGCTTTTTTGTTTACAAATACTGTCTAGTTTAAACTGTCTCTCCTCTTTAATTTTTTTACTTTTTTCCCCTCTTCAAATGTA